GGTCAGAGGCAGCCAAAGTAAAGTTTTATTTAGCTCATTGGGAAACCGAAAATCGATTGTGCTTAATGAAAATCGGCTGTGTTTGTTAACCAACTGTGCCTAAAAACTGAAAGTACATGAAATTGACTGTTCGAAAGTTGCCCTTTTGGCGTTCCATATTAAAACCGGATGCGGAAATATGTACGTTTAATGTTGCTCTTTTAGCGTTCCATACACAAAAACCACAAAACCAACTGATGGATACAGCTAGGAACGTGGAAGTAAACCATTTAAACTTCCATGTCTAAACAAACCCATGTGCTCAAAACAGAAGACCAAGTGAGATAGGACACTAAACATCATTATTATTTCTCCACATAACTCTGAAATATGAATTTATATTCACCTTTATGTTGTTACACTTTTTCAGACCGGTAGGTTTAGAATTCCCAACTTTTTCTTAAGACACACGGATTGAGCAGGTTTTGAAATAAGCTGAATTATAATATAAAGTGTTGTAGTTCCACATTTGCCTTAAAATTAAGAGGCATATATTTCAGCATATGTGGCAAAAAAAAAACGCCCACCACCCCCCCTCCCCCAACCCCGAAAAAAAAAAATAATAATCACCCCTCAAATACTCTTCTCAACAATAAACACCCTGGGGTTTTTATTTGAATAACGGTAAATTGCATTCATGATCAATGTACTATACATGCAACATACAATAATATGGTGCAGCGGTTGCATTTCGGTCTGTCAACCTCGAGGTCATAGGTTCCAAAATTTGCTGTGCATTTCACTTGTGTCCTTGGGCAAGGCGCTTTATCTACATTTGTCTCTCTCTACCCAGGATTATAAATGGGTACCTGGTAGGATCAGGGAGATGTAAATCTACGGTTTTCTCTCTCCAACCAGGAGTACAAGTAAACCTGGTAGGTTCAAACACAACCATGCGCTGATTACAGCTGCAACATTAAGGGGCATGAGTGTTGTGTTCCATGTGCTTGATCCAGTGACTGGGAGTAATAATGTAAAGCACATACAGGTTAGTTTACAATGCGCTATGTAAGTCAACAATTATTAATTATTATTATAAGCATCTTGTGTCCCTTGGCAAAAGGCACAGTATAAATCCCTATAAATCATTATTATTCCAATTTAATTAAAAGAATTTAATATTATTATAATTAAAACAGCATTGAGCACTGAATAAAATATTTCTAAGAACACATTATAACATGAGTAGTTCTATAAATATAAATTTTTTTTATAAGAGAACAGTTCTTAGAAACACATTTATGGAGAAGATGATGTCACGTTTGAGTCATTTAACATCTGGTACTTATTACTTATGATTGATATCTATGACAAAGTACTGTACAAATTTAAATACCAAAACATGAGCAAAGCTGATTTACAAATTGGAACCTAATTAAAAAAGGAAATGCAGCAAAACTGAATGACCAACTTGGAGAGCAATACACACCATCTAATATCCTAGAAATCTATTAATTCCAGACCTTTTGTCTAAAATAAAAATTATGCCAGTTTTCAGCACAATATTGTCAAGTTGCCTCACATTATTACTGTCGTCACTAAAACAATCTATCTTAATGAAAATGTTATCAAGAGATATAAAATCTGTATAGATACAGTATGGTGATTAGTCAATAGCCTAACCAATCAGTCTCATGGAATTCTGGAAGGCCTTTCGCACTCCAACAATAGAATGTAATTGTAAGAAATCAGTGCTGATGGGTATCATCATGCACAGCAAATTAAAATTAAATGTTAAGAAAGGTTCTGATATCCGCTAATAATCCAACGCTGCAAATTGCAGTGTTTTATAGCAGAAAAAGCAACATGTGTTAGCAGCAGGGAGCATATTTTATCACTTAAGTAAAGTCTGTTTAAATTTTCATTGTCCCTGCTTTTACTGTTAATTTCCAAAAACAAAGCTGAAAAGCTTGATAAAATAAATTATTTTTAACTAAGGTCTAGATGAGAATACACACATCCACCACATGCATACATGATCATGGCACCACTGCTTAACAGTGGTAGTAATTTTCTGTTTTTAAACTACCATTGTCAAACAAATGAAAGTTTATTTATGGTTTATGTACGTCAAAATGCACATCTACGATTTATTGGGAGTTTGCAGTGTAGTGTATGCTTTATTATTGTTGTAGCTTCTTCGGTTTAAATTTCATTACTTGATTTTGAGACAACATTATGCAGTGGACCAATGCCAAATTTTTTTTATTAATTAATTAGGGTCCAGGGCAACTTAATAAAAACTCATCATTTGCATAATACCTTAGGTTTTACGTCTGAGGTTGATGATTTTTTTGAAAGCCGTCAGTTCTGCATGAACTGGTAGACCACCCACAGATACAATACCGGTCAGAACCCTATTTAACTTTGTCCTGTTCTCGACCTAACACACCCCAAGTGCACAAAAGCTACTTGCATGTAAGGCTGGTATCTGAGCTGTTTGCACGCAAGGCCGGTAGCTGAGCTGCTTGCATGCAAGGCTGGTGCTGAGTTATTTGCATGATAGTTTGTAGTTGAGTTGTATGCATAAGAGTTTGGTAGCTGAGTTGATTGCATTTGAGACTAGCAACTGAGTTATTTGCATGCATGGCTGGTAGCTGAGCTGTTTGCATGAAAAGCTGGTATATAGTTAAGCAATTTGCACGCAAAGCTGGTAGTTGAGGAGTCTGCACGCAAGGCTGGTAGTTGAGGAGTTTTCAGGCAAGGCTGGTGGTAGTTGAGCAGTTAGGTATTAAAGACTAGTTCAGTTGATTGTGAGTAAGGTAGGGCTGTTGGCATGTTGAATGATATAGCTGAGTTGCTTGCCTTAGAAGTTGGTAATACAGTAGTTCGCATGTGAGAATAGTTGTCTGCATTCAAAGCTAGTTGAGTAGTTTGTAAAGTGAGGCTGAGCTGTTTGCATGTCGAATGATAGCTGAACTGTTTGCATCTGAGGATTTTTGCAGAACAAAACATGGTTTCATGTAAGCAATTTCCAACACAAACAAAATATTTTTATCATAATCAATGTTTTTTCCCATTAGTCAGACAGTACTCACTCACTAGTTGGTTGGTTTTAACTCTCAATCATTGATCTGATAATTGCTAGAGATCCTAGTGCACACTTTATTCAGCGCCATGATTTTGATAATCAATGACATTGTTCCCTTATAAATTTTGTGTCACTGCCGATCCACACATAAAGCCTCAAATGTGGGTGTAACAATGTTAAAAATACACTGTTTGATGAAAATGTCTGGCCCTGTGCCATACTAGTCTAATAACATCAATATCAATTATATTATGACACAATTTTTTTTAAAATATATTTTATCTCATTCACACGCAACAGCAAGTTTGGAAGAGCTGCTGTATAAAATATGAAAGATTTCAAAAACATCTAAAATTACTAAAACTTAATTATCAACTGACCTTTGAAATAATGTAAGCTGGAAGGATACCACTCTTACTAATGGCTTTAAAAAATATATTTTTATGACATCATCATCTGATTATTCCACCCAATCAGGTCGCAAGCCAATCTTCAAAGTTAAAAACAAACACTTTTGCTCAACTACACTGCTGTAGTAATACAGTTTTTACAATATGCTTCTGCTCATACACTTTACCACTGGTATTATTGAATGTGAATGATGATAGCAATGTTGGGAAAATCTGACAGCGAAACAGTAACTGTTATTATAAGTCAATCGTGACGTCATCACTGCAACTCCCAATGTTAATTCCCCACCGTCCACTAATTTTTCTATTAGTGGACGCTTGGCTTTTTTTAGGTTTGTGTGCAAAAAATAATTCCTCATTTTTTTTGTCACTGCGAAGACATCGTGCACCGAGATAAAAATTGAACTGTAATGGAAAATTACTTTCGTAAAATAAGGTTAATTAGAACCCGAAGAAAGTTACTTTAAATTCAATATTAAGTATGAACAATTAAGGAATTCCTTGAATCAATGAACCCTAACAATCTAAACAAACTGAACGCTTAATAGCAATATTCTAGACCTATTTTAAAGACTCAAGGAAGAAAACTAGATGTAGAGCCGCCGAGGCCTCCTCCTTCACTACTACCCTAGGCCGTATAGCCTAGCGTAGTTATGAAATCATCCCAAGATTTTTACCTGTCTGCACCTACCAAAAAGTTAGTGACAGTGACTGTATTCTGTATGCTTTGAAAAATGTTTATTTCTTTGACGAATGTGAAAAATTCCAAAAAAGTTCTTCTAACACAAAACAAATTACAAAATCGCCTAGGCCTACTGTAGTTATTCATCGTATCCGTACAGTACTGCTGATGTATAGTTAACGCGTAGGCGCTGCCTACTGTGCAGGAGCACATATCAGCATACGCACAAAATATAAATATGCACACAGTATATCGCTATAGCAACCGCTGACTGGTACAACACAGTTGGTTATAAAAACTAACATTAAAAGACGGCGATTGACTTATAAAGCAATTAGCAGAGCATGCATCTTACACTAGCAGAAAATTATTATACTTACAGTAGGTTAGATTTAATGCATTCAAAAAAACATTTTTTCAAGCATTAAATCTAACCTTCGTGTAATAATTTTCCTATAGTGTACTACGCAGAGCTCTACTAATTGCTTAGTATGGTCACCATGCCTGCTTGACGAGCCAGAAATGAATGTAATAAGACGGTTGTTGTTTAATATGTCAGTTATGTTTTACAGTAATTAAATGCTATTTAAATGCTGATACAATGAAATTCATGAGCTTTACCAAGCATAGGCCTACAGTATGGCAATTTGAAGGCTAAATGCAGGCTTGGTCCCAGAGGATTATATCAAAAGGAGGAATTCCGGGGATTATACGGTACTACTACAAAAGTTTGCAATTTTGGCGTCCATAAACAAAGACGCACGATTCCCTGCCGATCTAAAATATGCACAATTCTGCTGCTGTACTGCAAATTACATTAAAAAACAGAATTTACGAATAAAGTCTGACTCTGAATGTTTTATTACAAATTTGACACAAAATACTGTACAGTGAAGGAAATTTTTCTACACTGGCCAAGAACGTGTTAAGAGAAATTGACATGGGTTTACACCATTGTCATAATTTCTCATACTGTATCTCCTATTCAGATACTTTAGTTAAATATACACAAAATTATACATCAAAACATTAAAAGAATATACTGTAGGCATTAAGATGAAATATGGATTTTATTTGCATACAGGAAATTGTCCAAATATGCAATTAAAAACACATTGGGTCTCAGTGCAAGGGACCACAGTGCACATCACTCTAATCACAGCTTTGAAAAAAAAAAACAAAAACAAAAACAAAAACAAAAACAAAAACCCACTTTTTTTTACAGTATAACCATCTGATGAGGCAGCCAACAAGATCACTGATGATTTGGTGGAAATAATAAAATACCACTCACCACTCTGTAAAGTCCCCCCACCGGACAGATCAAGCCCTCCCCCAGTCGGACATAGCTCGTAAAATAAACATAAACAGGCCCACACTAAGCCAACACATGTCTGTCACAGTCTAAGAGTGCCATTTCAGGCCATCCAGAGGCTGATTCTTAGAAAAAAAATCTCATTTGGGAGGGGGAACCCTCTCTCAACCCCTTCCCCCAGCTCGGGCATACAATCTCAAGTCCCCCTCGGACAGCTTAGCCCCCCCAGAAAATTACCCTAGAGCCGCCACTGCACTAAAGGAAGTATAATGTTCACACATTCAAATAACTGTCCAGAATTAAAGTGGGTTTTACCTATCTAATAACCAACAAATTTTTAATTGAAAAAAGTTAATGGATACTAGGACATTAAGAGAGGATGAATGAAAGATATAACCATGAATGCCAACATACTAGGCAAATTACATAAAACAAAAAAGCTTGTTTTTGCAGAAATTTTTTTTAGTGCTTTTGTACTATATATTAGCAGCCAAATCTCACTGCAATGGATAATTAGAATTATACATTTAGAGGAAAAAAACTTTTTGCATTCAATCAATCAAACTTCCTTTCGAACATAGTCCCAGTGCCTGTGTATAATGTTTGTGTAAAATAGCTGAAGCATATAATCTCATGCCCTCTTTATAGTACATGCCAGATGTACGATAGTATCGCATGAACCAAACTGATATTTTAAAACAATGCTCAATTGACATAAGAGACTACACTTTACAATTTATATACACATTTACTAGTATTTTACAGTTTTTTTGAGAATTTTAATTTATTATTTTAAACCTAATACAGAAAATGAAGTACTGTAGACGTACTTCAAAGAAATACTGTCATGAAAAATTCAATTAAAACATAATTGAACTGCTCATAAAATATAAAATAATATAACTTTTAATACAAGCAAAGATTAAAACAATTCATTTAAAAAAAATAATTTACAAATGTTTTTCTATAAAAATCCTTAAATTGATTACCAGCCAATTTAAGTGTCTATACAAAAAAGTATGTTTACTGATTTAGGAAACTAATTTAATGTAATCTAAATTGCAAGCTAACAACATAAACAATTATTTTACTAATTTATTATTTGAAATAATCTATCAATATTACAAGGTAAGTAAATTAATTATTGAATTTAATTTTTCAAGCTTAACACAAACATAACTAAAACAATTGCAGTACAGATACAGTATAACTAGGTTGTGGATATATTTATCTGTCCAGGGTGTAAAATTTCTGAATTAGATCTTCTAAATGGAAGTCCACATGGTAAATTACCATTACAAGAGCGTGGAGGAGGTATTGGAGGAATACGTTGAAGTCGTGCCTGTCGACCCAAATTAACGTAATAATGATCCTTACTGTGATTTTCAGGTAATTTATTAGAAATGTCAATGTTTGGTTTTCGGGGTGCTGGTAGCGGAGGTGGGAAATCTTCCTCAGCAAGTTCATTGATGTCAATTAATGCATTATTTTCTGTTTCAATTATTGTCTCTGTTTTAACAAATGTTGTGTCTGTTACAGCCGAGCAAACAGAATCTCGATTTGGGAAAAGACAGGATTCAATTGCGTGTATATTTGGATCACTTTGACTCAAAGCGGCAGCAAGATTCGGCACCTCAATTTTAACGTTGAGATTTGCATGAACCGGCTGCATCATGGAATGGCTGCCACGCATGCCATTCTTGGTGGGCTGATCAAAGTACAGACTACGGTGCTTTGCTGCTGAATCTACATTCTCGTAGTCGGTTTCGTAAAGGACACTCTGACGATTAATAACTGAATCTGAGTAACGCCGTCCCCTTAGCTGTACAGCTTCTTTTCCTATGTTCATCGCTTTATGGTCACGTGATATTTCGTTCTTTAGACTCTGTCGCTCTTTCTTCAATTTTGAATGGAACCATAAAACAATCATAACAAAGATAAACAAGAGAATGCATGCTAGCATTGGGCCAACCAATATACTTATGTGCTGGATTTTCAGGGAAGCTGGAGATTTAAGAACGTCTTTCGGTTGAGATTTAGATTTAATGGAAGACGACGAAACATGCGTAGCAGTAGTTGAAGTCACACTAGTCGAGGACAGCAAAGTGGATGCAGTAGTCGTTGTTACAGGTGGGCCATTCATCCTAATGATCGCTGTTGCATTTACACTCAGTGACCACCTGTCGGTTACCTGACACTTGATCTTATAATCTCCCGGCTCTCCTTTCACGTTTCTCATGCACAGACTCCGACTGTTATTTGTAAGGAACATGCTTGATGGTTGTAAAGGGCCTTCAATGTACCAACGGTATTCCACAATTTCCCAAGACTGGACCATAACGCACTGAAAAGTCAGGTCATCACCGGTGTTCACAACTTTATGGGAAGGATAAACAAGGACTGGCAATTTTGGCAGGTGTGTTAACAGTGTGCAGGACTCTGGGGCAAACAAGGTCCTACTATTTGTTGAACAGAATTTGGCAGTATTTTTGGATTTCATAGTTTCCTCAAGTAGAACAGTTCCATTTTGAAGATAATATGCACTTAAAATACGGTCTCCATCGGGCCAGCTGCTGTGAGCAGAAGGAGTAGTAGAGGGACTTGCCATATAATCATCCAGCATACTTTCACAGCGTATTGTTGCCAGTTCTGACGGAGTTAGCAGCATCTTTGATCCGTTGTAATGCTTACATGGGGTATAGCCTTCTGTTGGTGGCTTGATAACCGTTAACATTATAACATCGGAGTGAATTTCAGGCACATTACCGTCTTTTAAAATACACTGAAACTGTCCATTATCCGCCTCTGTTAAGTTGTGAATTGTGAGCGAGTACCGCTTTCTTGCCTTGTCAATGGACACAGACATTCTGTCCGTTGGTGCACTGGACAAAAGAATATGGTTCTGACTCAAACGATGTTGATCGTACAATTTGTACCACTGAAATTCACGTTCAGCTCTTGAAGAGTTTGTTCCAGAGGCAATGCAATTTATAGTTACGGATTCACCTGTAAATGCTATCACATCTTGTGGCTCCATCTGCCAGGTGACCTCAGCATGATTTAAGTAAAAACATGCACATAAAATAATCGCAAACATTTTTTTTCCACAAAGCAATTTAACTTCAAAAAACCAAAACAGTGATGAAGACGATCCAAATTTGGAAGCTCATCTGTTGAACATCTTCAATTATGGACTGAAAAAATGCAACACAATGGCTGTAGCTGAAATAGACACACGGTGCTCGCAGTTCGATGACGACTGAGAAATGCAAGTTGTGTGATTAGCTAAGTGTATAAAGGAAGGAAACCCTGTGGATTGATGGCAAGACCGTTGGTTAGTCATTCTCTGTCAGCTGATAGGCACTTCCTGTGGGGGCGGGAATGTACGCAGATGATACACGCGTGTACAGGGTTCTGCTAATGTTCCCTGCAATTTTTATATTTTTATCATTATTTGCTATTTTCTGCTTGAAGATGAAACAAATATAACTAGTATGAAACAAGGGTAGGGGATACTACTAATTAATTCCCTGCAAACTTTCTGAAAGTTTTACCAATACACAATATAAAAGTCATGAGAGATTTTTCCAAAGCAAATAATAAAAAAATTAGTAATTTAGGGGAAAAAAATAGAAATTATTACCCCAGTATAAGACATATTTTTGGAAAAAATAAATAAATAAATAAAAAAATCTCTCAAATTATAGTTATTCATTGTCAAAATATACATCCTCCAAATACAGTACAATAAAAATAATATAATAATCAGTTACAATGGCAAAAACAAACCAAAAAGACAATAAATAATATCCATACTTCCAAGGCCTCCATTTTAGACATAAACTACAATTTACCAATACAAACTGAAAATCCAGAGTATGGTACCTTTAGGACTACTGTATGTAAACACACTACACAAAGTTTTGATAAAACACCATGACATCCTTCCCCTAAATGTGTTGGATTCAGTTTTGAAGAACAAAATTGCTGGAAACATAAACAGTGACAATGGGAAGCAAAGTAGTATGAATTTGTAAAGTGCATTGCAAAGGTTAGGGTGAAAACATTTTTATAAGGAAAAAAATTAGACTAGAGCAATGTTCACATTTAATTTTTTTTACCAAGACGAAAGGGACCTTCATCTTGGTTATTTTACCGCTATTCACACATGGATTTCAATTTAACATGTGTGACCATGTAGTGAATGTTTTGTGCTTATTTATGGTACTTTGTACCATAGTGAAAAGTTGAATTTTTTGGACACACGGAATGCACGATTACATTTTTTCATTGGACCCTGCAAGCCAGGAAAACAGTTTCTTAGGTATGATTTGCTTTGTTAAACTTACTGCGATGATTGATTAATTTAACAAGGAGAATGTTATGCAGGCATGACTTTTATTGGTCAAACAGACACGTACCGTAATTTGTAAGTTTGACCAAAAAAAAAGTACAATCCGAACAGGATTTAAGAATATATCCGAGTATAAATATATTTATGGTAAATTCAGACAAATTTCTTATTTGTAATTGCTTATTCCTCCTTTGTTATCAGAGCAAATGTTATACCTGTTTATACAACATTTGTAGCCTATAAGTGTAAAATTTAATCCGTTTAATCAATATATCCTCCTCAAGTACAGTATGATATTCCCTTAGTATGGTGCTTAAAATGTTTTTTACTTTTAATGAACTTCAGTATTCAGTAATTGATTTTTCCTTCCAGTACAGCAATGGAAAGATATACACACAGTGCAAAAGCAGAATGCGATAGTACAATACAAACATTCTGTTGATGGTACATTTTTATTCATTGGCAACAATTTTATGAAGAAAACAAATGAATTTGCAAACAGTGCCTAATAAACAAAAAAATATGAGTTGCTACCGGAACATCAGAATGAAAATTTTTGCAAAGCTAAATCAATCAAAAATCAATAAATCAAAATCTTTTTTTATTCACGAAATATATGAAAAACATAAAAGCTTGTTCACCAAAGGTGTTTTCCACGAGTTTATGATAAAATATAAGAAAAACATATCAATACAAAATATAAATCTGAATATATACAATCTAGAATTTCAAAATAAAAACAATTAAAAAGAAACATCACTTGGGTTACCTGTTTAACAATAAACATGTTTTTAAGTTCTTTTTTGAATAGATTGAGAGAGAGTGGCAGCACATTAAAGAAAAAATGAGTGGAAATATAATTGCAATAAATAATATGAAGCAATGACAGAAGTTATATGGTGATAAAAAATACTAATTATTTTCACTCCCAATTAGATAATTATGTTTTTTAGCAATTTTTTTTCTTAGCATATCCTACTGTACATCTGTCATTAAAATCATTCAATTTCCTGTTGACAAATTCAAAATACTCCTAAAGATGATAAATTTTAAAATACTGTAGGAATAATACATTTGGATAACTAATGAAGCAATCCAATTACACTAGCCTAGGTAGAAATCATAAACATTAGTATATAAATATAAAACCATAGACCTGCTAACTCACTGGATAAAAACGCTGATGGTAACAATTATGTAGCATGAAGAATATCACAGTGTCTTCCTAATTGGCTGAAATGTTTTGATCACAAGAACCCATAAAGAGTACAATTTTAATAAAGCATGGCTAAAGATGTCCAATAACAACTTTAAATAGAGGTCCTTAACCTCTAATTGTGCCTTAGATATTCAATAAGCTGCATGTCTACAGGGTATAGTTTTGTATCCAAGTGAAAAAGACCTAGCAGATAAACTTTTTTTTATCACCATAATCACAAGGCAACATGACGTCTTATCCAAAGTGTACTGTCACTATATATAATAATTGTTTTCCCAAAGTAATTGGACTAAATTACTTTGGTCCATGTGCTTCATTGCACATGGATGACTGCAAACTTAGGTCAAATATGGAAAACTTGTTCCTTGTTAAAGCATTGAGAGAAGGGTACTGCAATACATCACATGTAATAAACTGTAATTTCATTTAAATTTAAAGGAGAAGTACTTGAAAGAATACAACGTGTAACATATTAAGAGGCAATCCTTAGTACCCATTTATCTGTCATCCTTTTTTTTGTATGGCTTTACCTACTGCTATATTGGTTGAGCGTTTGGCCAGAAAGAAAATGTTCCTGCTTCTTGCATTGAAGACCATGGTTCACACTCAACTTGCGTCTGCTTTTAAGTGAATTTTAGTTGCTCGGCTCTGTTTAATCCTCACATGGAAGTTAGGTGGGATAAGGGACTAAGTATTTGTTCATGCAAGTCAAGACGTTTTTTATACCTTTTAACTATTTTTCTTAAGACCGTCAGGAGGGCGGGAAAAAAATATGTTATTGGTGAAAGTAAACAGATAGTAATAGGATGGTTAAATGCTTTAAATTTATATACTTAGGAAGGAATATACACATCTTATTTTTGGAGACTTCAAGGCAGTGGTGGGCGTAATAAGTATAAAGAAAAACTTTAAAATATTTTTTTCTGAAATTTGCATTTATACATGGAGCCAGGTGCGCTAATTGGCCAAAAATTTTATTTTTATTCGAAATCATCATTTTTGGCAGTCGGCGGGTTCACTAAACAAGGTACAAAAAAGTCTCCTAATGTTGGTACCCAACTATCAGCCAAAATTTGAATTAACAGAAAACTTAATTTATTTTATATATTTAAGAATAATAATTTGCAATTAAAAGATAAACAAAAAAATACAAGATATAACTAAAGATAAACAAGAAATAATATATGTAAAAATCAACACATTATAAATTGGATATATAATTCATCTATAAATTGTGAGTTGTTTACAAACAAAATAATAGACTAAACCAAGGAATACTTACTGTTTTGCCATATTTCTGGTGTAGATTACTGAATATATCTGTTGCACTGTATGGTCTGTTTTGTTTGATGAGATATTGATGAACTGCACCAGCAGCTATAAAAAAAAAAAAAAGACAAGAAGAAGAACTGTTTTAAGTCTGTTTCCATTTTATTTTAACAAACAGCATTAAAATACAGAAAATCATTAACAAACTTGGGGCCAAGTTGGCATTTGGTGGCTCCAGAAATTTGCCGACAGGTGGTCCGACATGTCCAACAGGGGGTCCAAAAAAAGGGCGGCTATAGCCTTTTGTCAGAGTCCCAGAGTAAACTCCTTGGTAGCGTTCATGGAGAAAGTTTTATGGCTTAGTATGGCACAAAATTGTACTATTACTTTATTAGGGATTGGCAATCAAATAACATTTTTGGATAGGCAAATTGACATTGTGATATCGGACGATGGAGGTCTAGGACGGTCTGTCCAATGGGGTAAGATTTCCTTCCCTGATCCCCCCCCCCCTCCCTGCTGGAGAGTGCCATCATTGCTAATAATATAAGTGGGGCCAATAAGGTATAGGAGCAATGCCGTAGCCATGATTTTCAAACTGTGTGGGACAATATCAAGGTGAACCCACTTTACGCGTAAATTAAAATAATGTGGCCCCCATTTTTCCCCATTTTACACACAAATATGAATAATCTGGACCCATTTTCTTAAAAATTGACCCATTTTACGCAAAATATGAGAAATCTGGACCCATTAACTGTCTCGCAATGTGTGGGACAGTCTCACATTTCAAATTGATTTTGGATGAAGCACGTATTTTGCAGAAACACATGCATGATCATAAATTTGCCACAATTTAGCACAAGTCTAAGCATGAACAATAACAAATTCAGGGGAAATGTATTCAAAATTTGAATAAATAGGTTTTATCAAAAACATAAAAATGGTCATGCAGTAACTTAAGTCATTATTAGAGAGCTTTCATTCGAGAATCAATTCACAAGAAAATTCCTCTTTCTCGTTTATGTACTCGGACCAAACAATTGCCAGCTCAGTTTCGCAATCTTGTTTCACATTCTCTATAAAAAATATTTTTGTTTATGTACCCGGTATCATCAACACTTCCCGAAATTGTTTAAAACAGCTTAAAATTGCTCAGATCGTCGGAGCGGCAGCTGGATCCCCCACCCCCAAGTCTTCGTCAATGCACCCTAGCCTAGCGCGGGGAGCCCTGCCGGCCCCTGTCCCCCGGCAAACTCAGGTGTATCCACTCACGCATTTCAAATCTGAGGTTGGTAACTATGCTGTCCGCCTATGTTAGTCTTACATACGGTACTACTAGTAGTATACTAGGCCTAGGCATAGGCTAGGCCAACCCCTACCTGGCTGATGAAGGTAATTGTTAATGTTATTAGTTAAGCCTAGGGCCTAGCCTAACTAGGGCCTAGACTATATATAATGGTTTATCATGAGTTAGCAACTAAACTAATAAAATAATTTCAAAAGATGGTCATTAGAGACCTTCTGTGTCTTTTCCTTTACTCATTTATGACGACTTCAACTTCTGTTTCTAGCAAATAATTAATAAGTTATTCTGAAAATCAAGAAAATATTTATGTTTCGCGGAAAGGAACCACCAGCCCAGTGTGCAGGATCAGTCAACCAATCTGAATACTCCATTCCATCTCAACGAGAACATGCATTTTGATTGGATATTATAATGACATCATAACTTCCCCAGATTTTCCCATGGAGTTAATAAGTTTTACTTATATAGACCTTTCCTCCGATCCTACACGAAAAGTACATTGTCTAGTTTTGTTGAAAATATTTTCTTGAAATATACTGCTATTATTATGTTATTAGAGTACTGTGTATCATTAAATTAAATATTTCCTCGCCAATATCGAGGCATTAATAATCGGGAAGTATCAGCGAAACACTAGATGCAAGCATTCAGAGGGTGGCGCCATGAGACTAACGTTGGGCTTGGGGAGAACTGCCACCCCGGATCCCTTATCAGGGAGAAAAACACAATTCGTTGAGGAGAAAAAATATCTGTATTTTTTAACATAATAGTATAGACTCTAAAATCGATTAAATAAGTCTTTGAACACCCTAAAGTGTCATACCGGTATTTCCTGGGCTCTGCCACATAGCACCACTTCGCAATTTTTGAGCGAGCGGCAACGACGACTACACGCACTCTGGCCACTTTTATCGAAAACATCCCTACCACCTCCCACACACCCGGTCGGCGACATCAGGTCCCCTTCTCGTCTTGCATATTTATTGGAGCCACCTTCAGCACATTTTGATGTGTTTTATTTATCGTTCTTTGAGTTAATGTTCGACGGGGTTTTTTTTTCAAGTTAATATTTCTAAGTAGGCCAATCAATACAAAATACAAATTGTTATAACATGATAAATGAATGTTAAATAATGAGTGAATGAAAGGATAATAATGAAAATTAACGAACGAGCGAATGAATGAATGGATGATAATTGATCCGATCAGTAGGATAATAATTATCGAAATTAAACATGTTAAGTTAACATTGACTTTTTGAAATACACTGCACATTTGAACAGTGCCGGATCCAGGAAGAAATAGAGGGGGCGGTGGGCAATGAGAGATCGACTTCACAGATAGGGAGTCTCGGAATACCTGAGCCCCGCGGTTGTGTGGCAGGTAAGAAATGTATGATTATACACCTCTAGATGGCAGGAAAGGCACTCTCAGACCTACATTTAAATATGATTATGATTTTCCTTTTCTCCTCGAAATAAGTGGGGTCGGCGAGCCTCGGCCCATCCCTTCCGCCACTGGAGAATGTAGGCCTAATGTAAAGTGGCACAAACAAATGTTGTTTATGGAAACAGAAGCACATGCGTAATTGGCCAAAAATTGGTAAAATGATTGGAGATGAAACAAAAAAAAAACAAGTTTTTCAGTAATGAAGGATCGATAATACCGGTAATGTTAGGAAAATTTCACTTTTCGATCACCGCAACGAAACCGTCAAGAGAAGCAGGGATATGAAATGGTGATGATGATATATATTGTATCTTAATTGGGTTTTTTATATTCTTATTAATGGGGCAATTTTTTAAGTTATAGTAAAATATTTCCAATTCCGTCTTGATCCTGACGAATATTTTTGTATTGTACCAGTAGGCCTATTGTAAATGTGCATTAGTCGAATAAACGAAATGAAACGAAATAAAATTAAATAAAATGAATGAATGTTTGATAACATTTGACAAACATTAAAAAACATAAGTTTATTCTATATAAAAATAACAGAAAATAACAATAGAATACTTTTATAGGGAGTGTGTTTCAGTAATTAGCGCAAAACGAATTGTGAAATTTGATTGGTTGTACGTTGATGAAGTTACGTTGAAAAACATCTATTTATTCCGCGCATGCCCTCTAATAATTGTTTACTTTCGCACGCTTTGGCCTGTTTCGCTGGTGTGTGTGATAGCGTTGTAGCCTGGCCTAGCTAGGCTTAGGTTCTGATGGTAAAAAGAACCTATGATTAACCACTTGCTTAAGTCTTGAGCTCTGTGTCAAGTATAGTAAGTGTCATAGATATATATACTATACATATTTTGTGATTCCAATGAAACCGATAGGCAGGACTGGCCTATGAAAAATGAGCCCTGCCGTGTGCTAGGCTAGGCCAACCTTGGCTTATAAGTTTAAATAGGGCAGGCTATGCCAAGGTTAGGAAGACTACTCTAGTACTACCTAGCCTACCCCAAAAAGTGCCTAGCTACGTCCTACCTGCTGCTGTGTGGGATAATTAAGTGCCTTCTTCAACACTATATATGGGTGATCCCAAGATACATACACATCCCTATATAGGCCTAGGCCTATGCTATATAAATGTTTCATATGGAGGAACTGTTTTACAGACCTGACAGCTCAAGTCAAGGCCTTCCTTTAGTTAATATGTTAAAGGAGAGGCAAACCCACTTAACTCAACTGGTCAACATTAGCGCCAAAACTGAATGGAACGCACAGTTGCCCATGTTATACTTTTTGCTGAATTGAAAGGAACTGAAAAAGCACTCAAGTTGATATGAGTTTAGTTTATCTGCCCAGTTCCTTTGATTTTATTTTATTTATTTGAACTTTATTTAATGAGGATAACCCATGCAGCTCACCATAGTATTAGTGGAGAGCTGATATTAAGGGGTCCTCAACAAACAAATATAAAATACACAGTAAAAATCAGAGAAATATTAAAATGATAATTATATCATTACAATTAGCAATAATTCAGAATGCAAAGCACAGCAAGAGCAATACAAAAAACTTTTTTTAAATAAATAAATAAAAATAAATAGAAATAAAACTACACTTTGTGCTCATTATTAATTCCTTTCAGTTGCGAAGAGCACTCGTGTCAACCAGTTGAGTTGGGTTCCTCCCAGTTTCGTGTAGACCTGATCCCACCTTAAAGATGTAGGCAAACTTGTATTACAGCTGACTACACTTTGTGCTCATTATTAATTTTATTTTTCTCTTTATCCCAGCAAACGTCCTGTAAAATGTCAGCGACAACACTCACTGCAGAACAGTTGAAAAGAATTGAAGAGAACCGTCGTAAAGCGCTTGCAAAAAAATCTAACCGATTAAATCAGGCCACATTATCAAAACAGAGTCAACCAAAGAATGTGATCAAACCAACTAATTCAACACCAACAGCTGTGGACTCAAGTGAAAGAGGATTGAATTCCAGCAAAGGCAGTCTTGTCAGACAAACAAATGCTCTAAGCTTTAACTGTAGTAAAAGTGTTGAGGATTCTGGCAAATACAACCAAATAAGATCAACTACTGCAGTAAACTATAGTAAAAGTCAGGCCTTACACAGAGGACCCCAATCAAGCCTTGGTAAGGTTTGTCCACCACAAGTGCAAACGCAATTAAAAGCAACAAGCTCTGCAAGTTTTGTCACCAGGAATTTCTACAGCTCAGGACAATCCAAAAGCACCATTGGTCATGATAAGAAGACCCCACAATTGGCATCTCAATTCTCATCTCGTGCAAGAAGTACTAATGTGAAAACCTCACAGATTTCTTCAACAAAGACGGGACATTTTACATTAATATCAAGATCTCATTTTTCTGTAAATATTCCCTTTAATGCAAAAATAATTGATATTTTCAAGCAGATGCCCACAAAGTCTTACGGTAAATATGACAATGATATTTGACATTATTCCAGTTACTAATATTTTATGCAATTTAAGGAATAATAATGGAATATGAATTAAATTACTCAATTTTTATGAGTAGCATACAATTAATTACGATTCCTGCTAGAATTTCTATTCAGTCGGAGGCATCAGATTTTTTTTTCTGCATGTATTAAAAACAAATGTTTTTCTTTTTTTTTCCCTAGAGTAATCACTATTAGGCTATAGTATACAGATAGACTTTGGTGTTGGAGGAATTTTAGTACAGTATTTATAAATTTCATAGTTGGAGTCACAAACAATTTTTTCAAGGCCTGAACTCTGGCATGGTACCACTAGTTTAGTGCAGGTTTCAATGGCTACATGCCAGGGGCTTATGGCCAAAAATATATATTATTACTGTACAGTCATTAACAGATCCTAGACTGGAAGGTGGGTGGATGGCATATTTTGTTAGATCTTATCATTTTAAGGCCTCACAGAAACAAGCTGGCACTGAAAATATCCCCTGAGTTTTCCAGGGCCATCTTCTCAGATCCACTTTAGGGCAGGATATCAGATTTTTTTGCAGTAACCCTGGGACATATTTTCTTTTACAGATGCTGTCAATAAAATCTGGAACTTTAATCTGAGTGACTATGACAAACTTTGTAAGTTTCAAAGTTTATTTTATCATTAAAGGATTATTATAGGCTTGTATTTAAAGTAGCACAGTAATTATAAAATGCAACGGCAGAAGAAATAATATATGATTGTGACAAAATGCAATGAATTTTAATTAGTGAATTAAAGTATGGTTAAAAGAATGTCCTAAAATTATGATAGTACTTTCTCACGTACACAAAATTGTAAAATTTGTGTAACAGTGTTGTATTCAACCCTGATCTTCGTGTAAATACAGTTCAACATTTTGATCTATTGTAAACTAAAGAACATACAGATGTATTTACTTTGTGCATTAACTAAACTCTCTTCTTTCGTCAAGGGAAAGCACTCAAATCTGCAGGGATGGAGAGTGATCTTGAGCCACTTCCAAAAGCTGTTACTACTACATTCAGACAACAGAGGCATGGTGAAGATAAGCCACTCACAGCACCAGAGGTCAACCTGAACTCAATTGATAGTGAGCTGGTAGAAGCCCTTATGCCATTCCAAAGAGAGGGTGTCGGGTGAGTTTGTCATAGGGTGTGGCAGTAACTGACATCACATGTATTGACAGTGATCTAGTAATAAAACTCTAGATACTGTACAGTAGGTGTGTCACAGCATTTGCATGTATTGATAGTGATCTAGTGCAGAAACTTGAAACCAATTTTAAAAGCAAGAAAGGGGTGAGCAAACATACCGTAAAACCTCAAATAGAAGCCCTGGGGCGGATTGATATAAGCGGTCTTTAGACGGTCTTAACAGTTAGCCGGCTATAATCGCAATGTCACTACCAGTCTATGATTATAGACTATTGCTATACCGTGGTCTAACCAGTTAGCTGTCTTAAATTTTAAGCCTACTCGGAGGAGGCTTAAAACGGTCTTAAATCATTTTCATCATGGCGTTCTACTGATTAATTCAACAGTGCAATGGCAAGACCTAGATCGTCGAAGTCGGAGAATCGAACGACAAATACTTCGCACACTTCTCAGCGTCTGTAAAAATAGGTCTACAGCGTTTACTTACGTTCATTTCGATACATTTGAGTGTGCGAGCACGCATGACGCTGCCCTCAATCTTACGTTACCAGGGAGTGCTTGTTTGCGTTTCAATACTCAAAGCGGTCTTAGGGAAGACTGTTTTATAGCAATGGTATTAGAGGAATGACTTTAGTAAAAACGTCTAAGTGATAAAGCCGGCTTTATTCGAGAAGTTAAGACTACCAGTTAAAAGACTGTTTTATAGCAATCCGCCCCTGGGCTTCTTTATTTTGTGATCTTTGGATGGGCTTCTTTTCGAGACTACTTTTGCAGTTACTACATTAAAACAATAAAGAAGGACACTGCAACATCAGTCTGTACCGTGGAATTTATTTTCCCGCATTAAATCACCTAAACTATTGTGTAAACCAAGCGTGTTTGTAAGAAATCTTGTTACTTTGAAACTCACGTAAAGTGTATGTACTGTACTATCTGGAAAAGAAGCCCATAGGCTTCTTTTCGAGGCTACTTTTGCAAACTTCAAGGTGGCTTCAATTCGAGATGGGCTTCTTCTCGAGATTAAATCCATTGGGCTTCTATTCGAGGTTTGATGGTATGTAGTTTAACTAAGAAATGTTTTTATAAATCATTTTGAAATTTCAAAGAATACATACATTAATCGTGAGTTGCCAACTTCCGTACTTGGAAGTTTCTTTCTTTCTTTCTTTCTTTGATTGTTGGCCGTCAATTTGGAGTTGTCAACTCTAATTTTTAGATGCCTTTGAGATCGTGTAATTATACATATAGTAATTACATTCTCAAAGTTTTTTATTTCAATAAATATATTAGAGACAATAAAGATGATGAAGATTGATTAAGGATTTGATTTCACAATTAATTAAAGATTCATTAATGTGACATGAAATACAATATCACCACGTGTGGAGGAAAGGAATAGGAAAGATAATATGTTTCAAAAAGAAGTTAAGCTTCTATTTTTGCCATAATGAATTGATGTTTCCGTTACATCGTATGACTAAAAATTTGCTTGTTCATGGTCAGTTGTTAAGTGCTAATGTACACTACTTAATAAATTAAATCTTGAGAATCTAATTATATTATTAAGGTCAAAACTAAAGAAATATTCTGCTGCTAAATTTAAATTGTAGGTAATATTTAATATAAAATAATATCTCATAACATGCCTATTTAGAACATATTTTCAACCTGAATACTTAATTTCATAATTGGGATTAATGGTAGAAGATGGAAGCTAGACCTCATTAATCCTGCAATAAAACAAAACACATTGCTTCATATCTTGGCTGTGACTGGCTAGTCTATTAATCTCTGTATTTACAATTTCTCAACCAATTGGTTTGTTCCTTTTATAGTTATGCAATAGAAAGGCATGGTCGTGTATTAATGGCGGATGATATGGGCCTCGGCAAGACATTTCAGGCCATCTGTGTGGCATGTTATTACCGGGCTGAATGGCCGTTACTAATTGTGTCACCATCATCACTCAGATATGTATGGAAAGAGGTACCTTGTCAAAAAACCGAGACGTTTCATAAAGCCTGCTCTATTTGTCTATATATCATCATTATTGCTGCCATATGTTTTTTCTTTTGTGAGATCTAAAACAATTACATATGTAAGATTGTAAATGCAGTGTATGATGATGAGGATAATGAAGTAGCACTAAATTATAGCATATTATTATTGTTATTATTATTATGTTATTATTATTATTATTATTGTTTTTCACAAAATACAACTTTTTTTAATGGATAAATACCGAAGGGTATTATTGCCTCTAACAGGTTTTTGTTCCATTGAAATAGATTTTCTGTTTATTTAGACGTTACAGAAGTGGCTACCCTCTATAGACCCTGATAGCATCAATGTGGTGCAGAAAGTTAAAGAGAGTGGCACAAGTGGATTGATCAATATTTTGAGTTACGACCTGATGTCCCGAAAAGCTGCCGAGCTGAAGTCCAAGAAATTTCATGTGGTCATCATGGTGCGTCTATTATTTGTTATTGTGTGATGACCTGTGACATAAGCAGTTAGATATCCACATCATCATGTCAAACTGTGAATATTGTACTGGTGGGTCTTACACCTTGTTTACTTTAGGTTATTTCTTTGATTATTTATGATCTTTCTCATACTGTCACTGTTTCTATTTTGCTTTATGATCATGTGAAGTGCATAGAAGCATAGGTATATGTAACATTATTAATAGTATTAAGGCTGTGGATGTATTTAAATCATCCTAAACAAACAATGAAATGAGCATGCATATGTGTCCAATTTGGCTTGCCAATCATGCTACTATTTTCCATATATATTTTTAGGTGACACCAGGGCGCTATGTGTGTAAGGTTTCCCTCTCTTCAGCAATTTTATTCCATTCTTCCAAGCGATAGCTGAGCTGATAGGGATTGCACACCAGGCAAAGATGGGTCAATGAGAAAAAAGTGACTAGTGTCCGTCCTAATTAACACAAAGGTTTCTGCTAACACACTCCTAATGATTGCACAATGTATGGTACTGTAGGTAGTATTATCTAGGCTGACTAGCCTAGGGTAGGTTCATCTTAAGATTGGGATGTATACAACACTAGTACATTCAAAAGTACATAAGCAACTTATTATAGTTTTAGCCTAGATAGACCTACCTACTGATGGATTTTCGAAGTAAAAGTATTTATTGCATAGAAACTTTCATAGAACTCTTTCCACATGTGTAAATATGATGACAGCTTAATTGAAAAGCCAAGGTGTACACATGCAAAATTCTGTCTAACTTAAACCTATAATTTCAGTGTTGTTTTACAATGATATATCCACTACGTACTGGACCGCGCTAATGTGATAGTCTGGGCACCATCAATCAGACTGAGGCTATGTTCTCACATGGCAGCTAACGGTTAGCAAGATCTGGATCCTTCTAACGGTTAGCTGCCGTGCGTCCATACAAGAAAATCCTGATCCGGATACCAAGAATATGATGATGGAATCACTGGCCAATAAGAAACTGGAAATTGTAAATGCGTACGTGTGATTGTTTGATGATATAAACGCGCTCAACTTGCTAACCAATAGTGTTTGCTATCCGTTAGTGGTAACCGATCAAGCGTTCTCAAACAGGTACTAAAAGTTAGCTCCCGATCCAGACACCAGGGCTCTTGTGAGAATCTGACCTGATTGATTGGACAATCCCAGTAAACAAACATCCTCACCAACAATCAAACACATACTTGCACAGTAGACATATCTGGATGATTCCATTAATTGTGTTTTATTAGGCTTTATATATTGAATTTCCTGTTTGATTAGGATGAGTCTCATTTCCTCAAGAACTTCAAAACTGCAAGGACGAAGGCTGCTATTCCCATATTGAAGGTCAGTGTCTCCTTTCAACTCTGATGTCACCCCCTGGCATTGCCAGGGACATGTGACAGATGATAAGTGTCAATTATAATGGATTTGTAATGTGATTATGATAAGATTTTATTGTTAATAAATACAATATTTGTGCCTAAGTCGATCTTATTTACATGCCAAATTGTTGTGTTTTCCTTTAATTAGCAATCTATAAATCAAATTTTATCTAAGTCGAACAATATTTTAATGACATTTTGGATTCTACTTCGGCAAGTTCAACTGTATGCTTTTTAATGCGAATTTCATCTAGAATGCGTCCCGTGTGATCTTGCTGTCAGGAACACCTGCCCTCTCAAGACCGAGTGAGTTGTATGTCCAGGTGAACGCAATTGACAACACCCTCTTTCCAGTATTTCATGAATTTGGACTTCGTTACTGCAATGCCCATCAGGTTAGACATTTTTTCTGATGCAATAGTCCTTTAATTTATATAAATTAATTTAATTCATTAAAATTATTAATTATTTTAAGTATTGTAAAAATGAATCACTGAGTAGATTGAATTTTATTATATATGGTAATAAAATAAATGCTTCACAAAAATTCACTTCAAAGGGATGTTTCTCCTTTTGTATGGTTTGTTTACTGTTCATTTATGCTTTAATTTCATTTTATTTCATTTAATTACTCGACCAACATTTACAATTACAGTGAAAATGAAATAAAATATGAAAAAAACAAAAATTGAAATGCTGGACAGATGTAACTTAAACAAAGTACATACACAGAATTCACTGAGTAACCTAAATTAAGGCATGGAACCCAGGATAGGTACATAACAGCCAATCCCATTCTCTCCTCTACTAACAGAATAAGTGGGGCTGGGATTACTCAGGCTCTTCCAACATGACAGAGCTGCAGCTCCTCCTAGAGGAACGAATCATGGTGAGAAGGATCAAGAAACAGGTGTTATCTCAGCTGCCATCCAAGACCAGGCAGGTGGTGATGCTGGATCCAGCATTGGTCAACACCAACTGCAAGAGTTTCCTGAGCTCCTCAAAGGGAATGGCCAATAGTAAGGTACATGAAAATTCAATTTAGCAGTTTGACAACATTATGTAGTTCAAGGTACAGGTACAATGAACTTTATTCATCAATTGTAGGAAATTATGATATGTACTTCATAGACAAGAATGAATTCAGGGGCGGATTTAGGGGGTGGGGGGCTGGTCCGGCCCCGGGCCCCCCTTTTGGGAGGGGGAAAAAAAAAGAAAGAAAAAAGAAGAAAATGATAGCCCACAACGCCTCAAATGTTATTTTCGGGCATTTAGAACACAAAGATTTCGCGGGGGCATGCCCGGACCCCCTAGGACTTAATATTTACAGTGATCAGGGTAATAACTGTCTCTTATACACATCTAGATGTGTATAAGAGGACATCTCTGGATCCACCCCTGGAATTAATAAACCATTCACAAATATTGAAACGTACAAAGTATTTGTTGAACTTTTGCATTCTTAGGATGAATATGAATAGTTTACCCAAATAATAGTCTACAATATAATATTAATCCTCACTTATTTATAATATTAATCCTTATTCATTTTTACTGATTTTTAATATTAATCTTTAAAAATCATTTATATTAAGTACTTAATTTTCTTAATTTTAATTTCCAACTATACTTATTAATAATTGTTAATACTAATTCTTAATAGTAACCTGTAATAATTCATATTTAAAACCCTTGATTTGTGTATATATTTGTCCTTCATAACAATTTCTCAGTAATCCTGAATAATCATTAAAACTAATCCTATATAGACCTAAACATTAATCCTTAATAATCCCTAATAATACTTAAGAAATATTAATATTAATACTTAAAAATCATTAATTTAAAATAAACTTTAAAATTATTCCTTAACAATCCTTAATATTAATCTTTTACAATTCTTAATGTTAATCCATAATAATCCTTAGTATTAATCCTTAACTTTCCTTTATATTAATCAACCAAAACATGAAACTGGCATTTTCATAATAAATGCTACTTAGCCAATGCAGGACATATATCCTGTTGACATTTTGCCATGAATATTTTAATCTATCAGCCTTCATAAAATTGGGCAATAGACAGTTATTTTTAGAGTTAATTTTAAAATGATACCAACACGCTCATTGTGATATCAATCTTTATGGTTTTTTATTTTTCAATGTGTTTGAATTACAGATTTCTCTCACAGAATGAGATTTCAGTAAACGATTGTTCAAAGCAAGAAAGTTGAAAGACGTTATCATAGTTTTTACTATCTTTTAAAATGTTATCATGCTATTCCTAATTATGATTACTGTTAATTATGTGAATTAGATGTCATACCAAATTTGCTTTATAATGCCCTAAGTTAATATTAGAATACTTACTTAGAAAGTGAAAGCAGTTGTTAATTGTTATATAATTTTTAATATTTACAGTGATCAGGGTAATAATGTGAAGTACTTTGACTTTTGATGGAGAGGAAAATGAATGTAGATATTAATTTACATATTTTGAATTTTAGAGTGGAAATGACAAATCTGCACTGCTGCAATATTTCAATGAAACTGGATTGGTCAAGATGAAGGCAATCAAGTAAGTTCCATTAAATGCGTTGTACTGCTGTAACGTGTAGGTTTAAGGTGCTGTCCTTCCAATACTAGGCTCTTAGATTCAAATCTTGTCCAAAATAGAATTTTTTTCAGGACTAAAAACAGGTTCATTCCCAAGACACATTAAGAGCCTATACCAACCCCCCCCCCCTCCCTAATTTTTTCAAAATAAAATAAAAGGAGAAAAATTGAAAATTATATTCAAATTTAAGTCTGAGTGTGCCATTTCCAGCCATCTAGAGATGCCATAAGCATTAATTTCTTACCTCAGCTCCCACCATGGGGCTAAAGTGGTCTAGATTCTCCATCTCTAAAATTCCTTCCCTGGGCCCCCTCTATTTTGAATTCCTGGCTCTGCCACTGAATGCATAACTGGACCTTGGGGGAGAACAGTGGTTGGTACTGAAATGATTGCTCATTAGCAAATATATATCCTTTTCAATACTACAGTTGCCAAATTCACTATTTTATAGTACCATGTTAAAACATGTGGCAAAGAATTTAGGCTTTGCTCAAATATATAATATATATCAGTGGTTTGAGTCAAACCAATTTTCTTTGTCTTTGTACAATGTATTTTAATATTCATGGCTTAACTCTAGCAGATTTTAATAGGGTGATGGTAGGAGAGTCAATTTACTGAATTGCTAGAGAACTGAAGGGTCCAGATATTAAATGTTTTATAGATACATGAAATACAAATTCAATTTTTTTTAATTAATAATGTATACTTAAATGTTAAAAGTTAAAGATTATGTGATTATACCATGCAAAATACAAAGGTCTCTATGTGCAAAAACAAGTGAATAGATGTAATTTGAAAAACAAGGAAAGAACCCCAAGCGAGCACCTAAACCACAGTGTGGGGATACACCCTCGTCGCTGAGCAGAGATCTGTCAAAGTGTACCCTCTCCAACAGCAGTTGAGTCTCGGCCATCCCAGGACTCGGGCACCTCCTGTCCTGATAGAACTGGAAGAAAAGCTAGCTAGTAAGGAATGGGAAAAAAGTGGAAATCAAAGAGAACAAAATCATCACTCCACCACTACTATCAACCATCATTAATACATTACCATAATAAGTATTACCAATCATTATCAGCCTCACTGCTCTTCCTCACTACCAGTGGTACTCCCTACTCACAAGGTGTCCCCCCTTCTAGATCCAAATTGTAGCTATGTTGTGGCATGGAGCAAGGCAAGGGTTTTTTTTAAATACTATTTTAAATTGTTAATCATCAGGATGACATTGAGGGGAAACCCAAGCATAGGAGAGAAAAATTATGAAAGAGAGTGCTATTCAAACAGGTGAAAATTAAAGGGGAAAGTCACATTCAATTAAAAATTTGATAGATATTCTATTACCAGCTTTGCAGCCATTTTTCAATTTGAAAGTTGATGTGTGACACCATTTGCAAGCGGTCAGTTTCCCGATTAATAATTGACATTGGAAATTGCACAGCAAATTGGATTAGCATTGAAAGTAAAAATTTTCGAACCTCTTTAAAATCAATATTTTTAATAATTATAATTACCTTTTACAAAATCATCTAAAGCCTACTCTAATATTCTGTGTAATATTTTAAATCATATATTACTGGAACTTAATTTGTTGATCCACAATATTTCATCCAAAATGCTCAACTTTTTTAGGATTAACAGATGGATTAGTCATGGGGTAGACAGCGAGGAATGCTGAGTTACATTATAAAAATAAGGTTGCTCTGGAAAATACAGAAATGCCTGTTAATGAATACAGAGTGACAGTATCTTTTAAGCCAAAGGAGCAAATTGAACATCCAAGCACAAACCGGAGGTTCCACCTGTTAGGCCATTATTGTTATATTAATAATTCAAGATTCAAAATTCAGTTATTTCTTGCTGCTTGAGACATCAACGGCAATTATCCGCAATCACAAACATTTCGCAATCACATTTAAAAACAATCAAAATTACATATAAAACAAATAACACCATCTACTTTAGCAAGTTAAATTAAACATTAAGAGCAGAATCAATGGCCAAGTGTAATTGTAACTAACATATGGCAAGAACGATGAATACAGTAAGATGGGAAGTTCGAGCAGGAATTAAAAGAATTTCGAGTATGGCGTAAAGCAATTAAAGTATTAGATTATTAGTACTTCACCATGCAAACCTTCAAACAATATTTCATCTCTTTATCATTATTTATATTATGGTTTATATAACCTTTTTTCTTTGTTCTTTATATAACTTTTATTTGTTTGTAGGGATTATGTTGTTGACCTGTTAGAGTGTGGTTGTAAGTTCTTAGTGTTTGCTCATCATCAGGCAGTACTTGATATGTTGTGTGAAGTCTTGAAGGAAAAGGTATGTTTAATAAAACAGTTAAAATATTAAATCTGATTCTAATAGGCATTTCTACTTTTTGTATATTTTTTTTGTTCAACCCGGATCTTTTGTAGCTAAAGAAAACTAAGGGTGGGTGATAGAAATTTTAAGTGTGGGCGGGTCATAACAATGACATTGGTAAACTCTAGATAATGGATTTAAAGGATGGGCAAAGGGGGTTAATAACGGTGAAA